TTTTATTTTATGATCAAAATTAAAATTTTAAATTTCTTTTGATGTTGAGTAATTAATTATTTGATATATAAAAAAATATTTTTCTACATAAAAGGATAAAAATATCACTAATAGATAAGAGATTCATAATAATTTTTTTGTCTGTTTATACTCATAACAGAATTTTTTTATTCATATCAGATTGTAAAAAACTTCCTTTCTTTTATTAAAACATTTATAGTTATTATTCCATCACTGATTAGTCCAGTGACCATCCTCTAAGAAGGGCGATGTTTAGACCATCAAATGTTTAAGTGCAAAACCCAGGCAATTACTACCTCATCCCCAATTTCCCTAATTCAAAAAAAAAAAAATTATAGTTATTTTCCTTAAAACAATTGTAATTTTTTAATATATTAAAAAAGTTCATTGCATGGCAACACAAGGGTGTGGATGCTTGACATTGACTCTTTCAAATCAAGATTTGGTAGTTAATTGTGATAAAGTGGAGCTTTCATGGCTTCAGTTGGGGATACGGAGTCTAGCCGGGTCATTTTTTGGGACGTGTTCCCTACCATAGGGATGATCCCTCTTGAGACTTCTCTTGTTGAAAAAATTTTAAAATGTAATATAAATTTAATGTTTACCATAGGGCAGAATTAAAAATTTAATATGGCCTCTTGTTGGGTTTAAATTTTAAAAGATTATTGATAAGCAACATGTATCACATTGTTTAAAAGTAAATATTATTCACATGAAAAATGTTATAAATATAATGAAATTTAAAAGTTAAGTGGAGTTATTGATCAATAATTTATTTATTTATTTTTTAATATATATCGATCAATACAATAAACAATAACATAGTATACGTTGAAACATAATAAGTGGTTAAAAAAGAATATCATCAAATTCTACATGGTGTTTATTTTGTTCATTGATATAGATTTTCTTGAAAAATTCTTTTAATGGCTAAAAAAATTTAGTAAGACAACCCATGTCAGTCCATTAAGTTTTAGCAACATAATTCTAGCTTAGTGATTGTAAGAGAGGCATTGATTGGATGTTTTTATTCTTTAACTAGCTAGTATTTTAAGTCACATTAATAAAGTTATATGTCATCAACATATTTAAATATATTGTTAATATTACCTCGCTAATTCAATTTCTAGTGCTTGCTCTTTATAAACAAAAACAGTTCCTTTTTAGAGGTTGTCTTGGGATGCTCTCATCACTGTTTTTTTAGTGTTATCATAGTGTTGAAATTAACTGATATTAATTCTTTTCTTGTTTGCGCTTAAATGTGTCGTGCATGGTTTATATATGAGATTAAGATTTCTTTATATGTATATTTCCTCAAGAAAA